TAATAATGATATGAATAAGTGCCAGTTCATCTTTCATGTCTACAGACATCCTTTGATAGCATTTGGTAAACATGTTAGAAAAGGGTGGAATAACGTGAGCTTTTTACGTATGATATATTTTTAGAATAGAACAAATGGGATACTAGATTAAAAAACTATGACATTCATAAAATCAAGAGATGATTTTTAAGCATAAATAACAACAGGATCCCCAATTGACAACAATTTAACTAGATTACAATTGATCATAATCAAAATACTAATCACCCCCACCCCAGATAAGAAATTAGATCCTTTGAAAAAAAAAAAAAAAACTAGTATAGAACTAAGAGAGAAGAGAAAAAGAGAGGTTATATAAACTGAAAATGATATTGCATCACATTGTTGGAAGTACATGTGGTGATATTTATACAGAGCAATAGCTTGTGCTGCAAGCTTTGCTGACTATACTATCTATCAGACAACTCAGCATAACTGACTGACTTCAGTTAGTTAGTTAGTTACAATGACTAGGAGTCTTACACCCGTGAAAAGAGACTCGAGAAAAGAAAATAGTAATGAATGAATTGACTATTTTAGTACCCATTTATATCTTTTAGAAATGGCATTGGAAATCATAATTGTGGTACAGGTTTTTAGGATATAATGTGAAAATAAAAGATAATTTCAAGAAGAAAACTGAGTTTAATATTGATGAAATATTATATATTGGGAAAATCATGATAATGATCATACAAGCTTACATTCAGAGATGGATATCTGTGGAGGATTTCTGCCTGAGTGAAGCAGTACCGTAAATCAGCCAGTGAAGCTGCAGGATAAAAAAGCATCTCTGACATCCTCCTGTTGAAGGTTGCATGGTATAATATTTTTAGGTATGTAAGTAGGAACATCTTTCATTGAGTGAACAGCGATGACAATGTTGCCATTTATGAGCGCCATTCTATTTTTGGTGAACAGGCACTTCCTACTGATGTCTACGACCGGTTGTGATTGTATTTTATCACCAGTTGTTTTTTATTATTACAATCTGAATAGCCCCTTCTTCAGCTAGCTCTGGATGTGATGCCATGAGCCAGTGGACTGCTCTAAATATAACAAAATTAAAAATAACGCAAATAAACAATGGAATCCTGGACCATTTGTCAAACCAGTTATGGAGGCTAGCTAGCAAGACCATACCAGCTAGTAATAATAGGGTAAAAAGAGAAATATAAAAAAATCATTATAGAAGAAGACAAAAATGAGATTGTCTTTCTTTCAAATAGTTTAAATTTACTCCAACCTCTACAGTTTAAATGGGTATGAAGTTAACATAAATATACCAAGATGATTGCAATTTCTCAAACATTTCACCTACTATTCATTCACCCTTTTTCTGATATTTCTGTTTTGGTTACATCAAACAAAAACGAAGCAAGTAGTATGGTGTAACCAAGGATCATTTGACAATCTTGATGAACCATACATGCTGCAAAAAAGTAAAACCCATTCTGTTCTGACAATCAAATTTCAAGTAAAAGCATAGGAACAATATTAATTTCTGTGATAATACTACTGGCATTTAAACTAGTTGTCCTTTCAGTTCATTCTGGAGTCAATATACACCAGTTAATTTATAATATAGAGAAACCTCTTTAAATTGATATTCGTTTTTTCAATTAGAAACTATTCCTTATAAATAAAATATAATATTATACATAATAGAAGAAGTTCTTATTTAATAATCAAATATAATATTTTACAGGGTAGAAAATTTTATTCTTTAAGAGTAATAAAATACAATATTTTATACAATATGAATATTAATAAATGTGAAATTAATTCAAATTCTTCAAAGTTTCTTTTATGATATGATGCAGTCAGACTATAAATTATATTTCTTATTAATCAATGACTTTTTCAAGGTGAACAAATAAGAATAAATCTACTTTTGATTTAGTTTAAGTATCCCATTATTTTAACCCACTTATTATTTTTATTTTTTTTTAAGAAAACCCCACTTAAATTTAAAAACAAACTTGTTTTTATCCACTTTAAAGACAATCTATAAAGGTTTTTGCCCTCTAGTTCTTGCTTGTATAGCAAGCGCATGACTTGAAACGCCCTTCATACACCTCCCCTTCATACACCTCCTCCCCTTTCACATGTAAAGTTCGCCCGATAGTCTATTAAGATAATGTAATATTAACAAACACTGGCTTTTGATGGAGAATGATTGAATCACAACAACATTATCTACTAGAATTAACCAAATGATGCAAATTTTAGATAGTTTAAGGTTCAAATATTATTGTCATTATCGTAAAAATATATCACACAAAACAGAAGGCTATAATTTTAATTAGGAATGTGCTACGCATCTTCACATTTTTTGTAAATAATATACTCATTATCTAATCAGCAAATACTAGCCCTATTAAGATTGTCTCGTGACATAAAAGTTCAGGAGTAATTATGGATAACAATTATTCAACAAAATGAAAGGGTTAACTATTATGGGAATAATACGCCTAACACACTACAAAACTTCGGATTTCTAATCAACTTATGATACCAATTTGATCATGATGTGTGGTTCACTTTGCTAACTCAGCTGAATATTTTAGTCAATAAAAATACATGGTTGGAAAATACTCATACTTGGAATGTAATCAACTCCAAAAGCTGACCCAGCAACCTCCCTTGTATCTACGTAACCTGATCAAGTCATTTGTTGGCCCTTTATCGTGGACTGTTAACTACAGAAAAAACCAGGTCCAGCCCGAGAAAGAAACTCCTCCCCACCATCTTTCCCCGTCTTCATCATCTCTTCAACAACAACATATGGACCAATTCTGGAAGTTTCAAGCATTGAACATATGGATTTACATATAAGCTTTAAGAGTAGTAAGTTTTGAAAACAAAACTAGAAGTATCAATAGTACATAAAGACGTTCATACCACGGGTTTCATCAGGGGAACCATCTAATCCTCTACACAAGCAATTTCCATCCACGTTTCTGCTAGCATGAATAGCCTGCAATAGGAGTGCGGCAAGACCCTTCTATTGTTTAAAGGAGGCTCTTTCACAGGAAACTGGTAGTCATGTTTCTACATGATTCAATGATTGTTTTAAACATTTTTTTACCATGATTAAAGCTACCTACAATACAATAATAATGATATGAATAAGTGCCAGTTCATCTTTCATGTCTTCAGAAATCCTTTGATAGCATTTGGTAAACATGTTAGAAAAGGGTGGAATAACGTGAGCTTTTTACGTATGATGTATTTTTAGAATAGAACAAAATGGGATACTAGATTAAAAACTATGACATTCAAAAAATCAAGAGATGATTTTTAAGCATAAATTAAAAACTAACATTTTAAAAATCAAGAGATGATTTTTAAGCATAAATAACAACAGAATTCCCAATTGACAGCAATTTAACTAGATTACAATTGATCATAATCAAAATACTAATCACCCCCACCACAGATAAGAAATTAGATCATTTAAAAAAAAAAAATAGTATAAAACTAAGAGAGAAGAAGAAAAAGAGAGGTTATATAAACTGAAACTGATATTGCATCACATTGTTGGAAGTACATGTGGTGATATTTATACAGAGCAATAGCTTGTGCTGCAAGCTTTGCTGACTATACTATCTATTTATCTATCTGACAACTCAGCATAACTGACTGACTTCAGTTAGTTAGTTACAATGACTAGGAGTCTTCCACCCGTGAAAAGGGACTCGAGAAAAGAAAATAGTAATGAATGAATTGACTATTTTAGTACCCATTTATATCTTTTAGAAATGGCATCGGAAATCATAATTGTGGTACAGGTTTTTAGGATATAATGTGAAAATAAAAGATAATTTCAAGAAGAAAACTGAGTTTAATATTAATGAAATATTATATTGGGAAAATCATGATAATGATCATACAAGCTTACATTCAGAGATGGATATCTGTGGAGGATTTCTGCCTATGAGTGAAGCAGTACCGTAAATCAGCCAGTGAAGCTGCAGGATAAAAAAGCATCTCTGACATCCTCCTGTTGAAAGTTGCATGGTATAATATTTTTAGGTATGTAAGTAGGAACATCTTTCATTGAGTGAACAGCGATGTCAATGTTGCCATTTATGAGCGCCAATCTATTTTTGGTGAACAAGCCCTTCCTACTGATGTCTACGACCGGTTGTGATTGTATTTTATCACCAGTTGTTTTTTATTATTACAATCTGAATAGCCCCTTCTTCAGCTAGCTGTGGATGTGATGCCATGAGCTTGTGTATGGTCGGTCTCCTATGCTTGAGCCAGAGCCAGTGGACTGCTCTAAATATAACAAAATTAAAAATAACGCAAATAAACAATGGAATCCTAGACCATTTGTCAAACCAGTCATGGAGGCTAGCAAGACCATGCCAGCTAGTAATAATAGGGTAAAAGGAGAAATATAAAAAAATCATTATAGAAGAAGACAAAAATGAGATTGTCTTTCTTTCAAATAGTTTAAATTCACTCCAACCTCTACAGTTTAAATGGGTATGAAGTTAACATAAATATACCAAGATGATTGCAATTTCTCAAACATTTCACCTACTATTCATTCACCCTTTTTCTGATATTTCTGTTTTGGTTACATCAAACAAAAACGAAGCAAGTAGTATGGTGTAACCAAGGATCGTTTGACAATCTTGATGAACCATACATGCTGCAAAAAAGTAAAACCCATTCTGTTCTGACAATCAAATTTCAAGTAAAAGCATAGGAACAATATTAATTTCTGTGATAATACTACTGGCATTTAAACTAGTTGTTCTTTCAGTTCATTCTGGATTCAATATACACCAGTTAATTTATAATATAGAGAAACCTCTTTAGAATAAATGCTCATAATTGAAAGTATTATATACAGAAGAATTTCTCGAACTCTTACCATTCTGATTTTCATCACTTTATAAAGAAAATCACAACTGTACATCAAAGAGAATGCTATTACCTATCTATCAATCCCTTGCCTTCTTTATTCTTTTTATTAGAGATTCTAGTGATGCTTGGATTCTACTTCCTTCTGTTTGCATCACTGCTTGAGATGCTTCCTGCAGATGCTGAATCCCACGACCCAAACTGGCAATTGATGGGGCTGCAGGGAGAGACTCAACAGCACACTCAATCCCGTCACCATACAAAAGCAAGGCCGTACAGGTTCCAATACTGCCTGCAAATGTAGCCCAAGGCAAGAACCCAACAGGCCGCACCTTCCGCTTCCTCATTATTTCATAGAAAGCCGTTCTCATGACTGAAATACTGGTTTTTTCAGCAGACGCTATGACACTGTGTGTAACAACTCGAATCTTTTCAGCAGATACTGCTGCCTTCATAATACCGGACGTTTTGGCTCCTGAAGTTGCAAAACCTGGAGCCACAACTTTTGATTGGCCAAAGGCAAAAGTCAGGACTTTCTGCATCTGGCTGAGACCAATTTTAAGTGAAGTTGGAATTTTGAAAGTAACGACCTTCACCAATGTTGATGCAGGGACTACTTTGGTCAGCGATGAAGCTCCTAAAACTGCTGTCGCTCCAGCCCCTACTGCCACCATAGGCTTATCTGTCAATAACCGCTTCTTGTCATTGTGATTCAACATAACTCCCTTACCATCAGAATTTGTGATCAGTTCTCCAACTAGCTCTTTCACTTCAACAGGAAGAGGAGTATCCCAGTGTTTCCTAAGACCAGCCAAGGCACTAGCATCTACCACTGCCACTATGGTCTTAAACTTATCAGTGTGGCTCCTAATGGCCTGCGCAAAGAGTGCATGTGACTTGTCATCAACCGGAAGCTCCGAGAACTCAATCTTATCCAACTTGGAGGGACCTTTCCTGTTAACAGGCCTCAACCCCTTATTATTTAGAGCAATTCTAAGCCCTTCAACAGCAATTCGGAAAGTATAGACCTCAGAAACGGTTCTCTTGTCAAGAACCTCCCCTCTATTCACATCCAACAACATCTTCTGCACGTGAGCCAGGGCCTTCCCAATCGACGGAAGATCACCAAATATACTATACAAATCCTCAAGCAAAGGATAAATAGACCTGGCAAAACCGGGAGTCTCATAACTAGTTGATGGCTGAATTTCCTCTTTACCCTCCTCCAAAACAGAACTAGCATTAGCACTACTAAGCAAAAGCGGATCCAAATGGCCAGATAAAGCCTTAGCCAGAGTCATCCTGAGGTCTTTATCGAGAGAAAACCTCTTCAAAGCCGAAGAAGACCAAGAAGAAGCATGCTGCTGAGGAACCAAGCTGTTAACAACACTTCGAAAATGACTGCCCCTATCAACTCCACCACCAGAATTGCTATCATTATCACTATTATTACTATCACCCCAACAAGATGGAGACTCTATAACAAGAAAAGATGATCCAACATCCTCAGAAGCCCTCTTCGCAGCCAACAAGGGCCCATGAAAACTGGTCCCAAAAATCTCCCTCAGCACAAAGTTGCCTGCAGCATTCTCATACATGTCCCTACCAATTTTATCAATAAAACAACGTTTGATTACCCCAAAAGACGAGGTCGGTAACGGAACAGAGTACTCTTCGGACTGAAGCTGGGAGAAGGGGGAAACCCCGGCCTGCACCAAAACGGCGTCGGGTTTGATCTCCCTGATGAGACACTCGGCATCTGAGGCTGATCGCTCCGACAAATTCAAAACGGATAGAACGTAAACGACGGATTGGGTTTGGGAGTCACGCACAGCGCATACGAATTGCTTCGTGTGTTCAGGGATGTTCAGTTTCCTCACCAATTGCTTCGAATCTCTCAACTCGTCGACTCGGAATGGCCACAGGTTTTGCAGATTCCAGAACCACGCAATCACCATTCTGAGAACCCCAAACGGATTTGGAAGTAAGAAGAGAAAGAAAGGGAAGAAGGTGGATTCAGGTTGCGCGCGCGGAGGAAGACTGAACGCAGTTCACAGTGATTTTTGTTTTTAGAATTTCGTTCATTCAGGAAATGCGCAATAGTTATGTTACTTTGTGTTATACATAATATTTTTAACATCGTTTTGTATTTGAATAAAATTGGTCAATATGAATAAAAGAATAACGTATAATTTGTCTCACAATGAATCTATGATTATATTCAAGATAACTGCTACCACTAAATTATTTTAATAATTTATTATATATAAATTGATTATTATCATTATTATTATTGATATTAAAATTTGATTTTATTTAAATAAGTTTGTTAAAATGTGATTTTAAGATAATTAATTTCATTCTAGTATAAAGTAAAATGTTCTTTTACATAAAAAAAAAGTACGCATAAAGTTTTGTGGAAAAAAGTTATTAAAAATAATAATAAATTACAAAATTTTAAATTCATAGTAAACAAAATATTTTTGGGGAAAGCGTTTAGAAATTTCAATTATCGTTCCAGATAATGAAAATTGTAAATTACTTTGTTATTGTCACAAAACAGCTTATATCCCCAAAAAATATATTTTTTTAAATATATAAAAATATAGTGTTAAACATTTAAATTATATAAGTGTAGCATCACTTATTTAACTAAAAGTAGTGATCTAAAAATTTGTTATAAAAATTTAAAACTTTTATTAGATAATTTGTTGAGAAAATAAATTGCATTGTTTAACATATCTTATAAGCAAAAGTATGAGTTGAAATTAATATATTTTTTTACGAAAATTTTATTATATAAATTTCTAGAAGATTTTATTTGATAATCACTTTTTTTATATATAAACACTTAATAATATATGTTTTTACGAATATATTATGACTAATCATAAAAAAATTTCAATCAGAATAAGTATTTATTTGAGGTGGTATTTATTAGATGATTGTCATATATTTAATTTACTAAAACATTTTCAACAACAATCAACAATGGTAATTTTCAATTAAATTTAAATACTTTTTACTCATGAAATATGATAATATTTTGCTTTTAATTTTTAAATTTTTTATAGAAATTGGTTCATGTAACTTTTATTTTATATTATTTTTTCTTTTATTTGATTTTTTATTAATTTTTTTAATATGTGGATTGTTCGTTGTCAGTATCTACAATTTTTTTTTTTTAAAAGACGAATTCATGATAAGAAAATATATAAATATCAATTCAAGCTCAAATACAATAACTAGACCAACATAAGAAATTACAAAATAAAAAATGAAGTAAAAAAATTATAGAAGACAAAAATAAAAAAATTATTTTAAGAATTAAATAAGTATTTAAATATTTCAGTTATTATGAGATAGTTATAGCATCTTCCATTGAAGTTCCATTTTAGATAAAATATTAACTATTTCAAGTAGTCTTTTATTAGAGGAAATATGATAAAATTGTTTAATTTTTTTTATAAAAATAAATAAAATAAAATAAACAAGAAGAAAAAATAGGATAAAAAATGTGTTGTTTAAAATTTATTAAAATTTCTATTAGAATAATATGAGTTATTTAATAGTGATGAAACACAATAAATATATATATATATATATATATATATATATATATATATATATATCTTATATTTTTCAAGATAAAATTGTTCTCGATCAAAATTTCTTTTAATTCATGTTAAAAATTTCAAGAAAGGATAACAATTATTCAACCAAAATCCTGGATTAAACTGTTGTGGGAATAATACACATAACACTAGCACACTACAAAAACTTTGGCTTTCTAATCACTTTAAAATACAATAATTTGTCCATGATATGTGGTTCACTTTTCTAACTCAGCTGAATATTTTAGTTCTTACAACAACTCTGTTGAAGAATACTCATATTTGGAATGTAGTCAAATCCAAAACCTGACCCTGCAATGCAACCTCCTTGTGTACCAAGGAAACCTGATCAAGTATTTTGTTGGCCCTTTAATGTGAACTGTTAACTACTGAAAATCCAGGTCCAGCTCAAGAAAGAAGCTCCTCCCCAGCATCTTTTACTCATCTTCATCATATCTTCAACAACATATGGACCAATTCTGGAAGTTTCAAGCACTGCACAAGCTTAAAGAGTAGTAACTTTTGAACCTTTGGAAACTATACTAGAAGCCTCAATAATCATATGATTATAAAGAAGTTCATACCATGGGTTCCATCAGGGGAAGCAACTAATCCTCTAAACAAGCAATTGCCATTCTCGTTTCTGCTAGCATAGCCTGCAATTGGGGTGCGGCAAGACCCTTCTAATGTTTCAAGGAAGGCCCTTTCACAGGAAACTGCTAGTCTTGTTTGTTCATGATTCAGCTAAGCAAGGTATTCTGCCTGCAGAAATAGGCCAAACCACATACAGAAATTAAAATTATTTAAGATGGAATAGCTATTTTGACCAATTCCTTATTAATTTTCAAGTCTCAACCAACTGACACATACGTCATTACCAATTAGATAACAGATAGATCTACATCCAGAAGCATATCATCCCATTTATTGGCCAACCACTGCAAACAAGTAGTTTTTATGAAAGTTTATACTCTTCCATGAAAACAAATGTTTTTATCTCCAATATAGCTTCTCACTTGATTTACAGCAGCCAAAACCACTATACCCAGAAGGCATGATACTAAGGCTTACAAAATTTAATTTAAATCAACTGATTACCATTTAATTTAAGAACTAACCATATCGTCACTACTCTACAGGCTATTCCAATTGCACCTTGGGCAAAAGCTGGAAGCATATCATTAATGATATCACTGGGACAAATATTTTCTCAAGACACTTACATGCAATAAAAGAAACAAAGGAAGAAAATTTACAATTTATAATATAATAATAGTAAATGTTTACTAACCACAAAAAAAGTTATACCACGTGATTTGTTTGCAATTTTTTAGTTTTGAGTTTTTCCATAAACGGTGCCTACTATTTTGTTTTGTTGCCTCCTAATAAGCTAATGAGAGTTGAAAGCTTTCTAATGAGGTATTGTATGGTCCAATAACAAGATGCGGTGTATATACTTGATTTATTTCTAACATTACTTCCCTTAAATCAAGTTTTTACCATTCCAAGCATTTTCTTCAACTTGTAAAATAACTCAGTTTTCAGTGGCTTTGTAAAAATATCTACAACTTGTTCTTCAGTTGGAAGATATTCGATTACTTCTTCAACTACTAGTTCTCGGATCTTATGAAACCTAATATCTATGTGCTTAGATCGTCCATGAAAAATTGGATTTTTGGATAATGTAATTGCAAACTTGTCACAAAATATCACTGTAGGAGTATCTTGCTTCTTTAGATCGTCCATGAAAAACTGGATTTTTGGATAATGTAATTGCAAACTTGTTGTCACAAAATATCACTGTAGGAGTATCTTGCTTCTGATGCATAGCTTTAAGAATCCTTATCATCCATATTGTTTGTGTAGCACAACTTGTTATAGCTATGTATTCTATCTCGGCTGTTGAGAGTGCAATTATTGACAACTTCTTTGAGGACCATGATACTGCTCCAGTGCCTAAATGAAATGTGTACCCCGACATGCTTTTCCTTGTTTCAATATCTCCTGCCCAATCACTATCTATGTATCAAACCAGCTTTACATTAGAATTATTAGAATAAAAAATTTCCTCAGTCAGAGTACCTTTGATGTATCTAAGGATTCTTTTTGCCCCTTGTAAATGACATGCACATGGTTCTTCCATGAATTTCCTGAGCAATCCTACTCCAAATACAATATCTGGTCTAGTGGTAGTTAAATATCTGAGACTTCCAATTAAACTTTTGTAGTATGTTGAATCAACCCTTCTTTTATCACTATCTCTTTTCAACTTCAACTTTTCTTTAACAGGTATTGAGATTGACTTTGAATATTCCATTTTGAATTTCTTCTAAATGTCTGTAGCATACTTCTTTTGAGACATAAAAATTTCATCATTCTGTTGAACAATCTCAATGCCAAGAAAATATGACATTAGACCCAAATTTGTCATATCAAAACATTGAACCATGGCATCCCTGAATTCTGCAATCATCTTTGGATTATTGCCAGTAAAGATTAGATCATCAACGTAAAGACATACAATAATAATATCAATTTGATGAAGAAATTATCAATTTTTCCTTATTTGCATATTGTGAGCCTGTATCATTTGAAGAAGCATCAAATAATCAATATTGGAGAAAAGCAATGGATGAAGAAATTCATGCCATTGAGAAGAATCAAACATGGGAGCTAACAAACTTACCAGTAGACAAAAGGTCAATTGGAGTGAAATGGGTGTATAAAACTAAGTACAAGCCTAGTGGAGAAACTGATCATTTCAAAGCACGATTGGTAGCAATAGGGTACAAACAAAAGCCAAAAATTGATTATTTTGAGGTATTTTCTCCTATAGCAAAATTAGATGCAATTCGTATGCTTATCTCTTTATCAACTCAAAATAATTGGAAAAATTTATAAAATGGATGTTAAATCTGTTTTTTTGAATGGTACTTTGGAAGAAGAAGTATATGTTGAACAGCCTGTAGGATATGAAGTTAAAGGAAAAGAAAATAAAGCATACAAATTGAAGAAAACATTATATGGCTTGAAACAGGCACCCAGAGCATGGTAGAAAAAGATTGATTCCTATTTTGTATAACATGGATTTCAAAGATGTCAATTTGAGCACACTTTATATATTAAAGTTGTTAATCCAGATGATATTATTATAGATCGTCCATGAAAAACTGGATTTTTCGATAATGTAATTGCAAACTTGTTGTCACAAAATATCACTGTAGGAGTATCTTGCTTTTGATGCATAGCTTTAATAATCCTTATCATTCATATTGTTTGTGTAGCACAACTTGTTATAGCTATGTATTCTGCCTCGGCTGTTGAGAGTGCAATTATTGACTACTTCTTTGAGGACCATGATACTCGCTCCAAGTGCCTAAATGAAATGTGTACCACGACATGCTTTTCCTTGTTTCAATATTGCCTGCCCAATCACTATCTATGTATCCAACCAGACTTTACATTAGAATTATTAGCATAAAAAATTTCCTCGATCGAGTACCTTTGATGTATCTAAGGATTCTTTTTGCCCCTTGTAAATGACATGCACATGGTTCTTCCATGAATTTCCTGAGCAATCCTACTCCAAATACAATATCTGGTCTAGTGGTAGTTAAATATCTGAGACTTCCAATTAAACTTTTGTAGTATGTTGAATCAACCCTTCTTTTATCACTATCTCTTTTCAACTTCAACTTTTCTTTAACAGGTATTGAGATTGACTTTGAATATTCCATTTTGAATTTCTTCTAAATGTCTGTAGCATACTTCTTTTGAGACATAAAAATTTCATCATTCTGTTGAACAATCTCAATGCCAAGAAAATATGACATTAGACCCAAATTTGTCATATCAAAACATTGAACCATGGCCTCCCTGAATTCTCGCAATCATCTTTGGATTATTGCCAGGTAAAGATTAGATCATCAACGTAAAGACATACAATAATAATATCAATTTGATGAAGAAATTATCAATTTTTCCTTATTTGCATATTGTGAGCCTGTATCATTTGAAGAAGCATCAAATAATCAATATTGGAGAAAAACAATGGATGAAGAAATTCATGCCATTAAGAAGAATCAAGCATGGGAGCTGACAAACTTACCAGTAGACAAAAGGTCAATTGGAGTGAAATGGGTGTATAAAACTAAGTACAAGCCTAGTGAAGAAACTGATCATTTCAAAGCACGATTGGTAGCAAAAGGGTACAAACAAAAGCCAAAAATTGATTATTTTGAGGTATTTTCTCCTGTAGTAAAATTAGATGCAATTTGTATGCTTATCTCTTTATCAACTCAAAATAATTGGAAAATTTATAAAATGGATGTTAAATCTGTTTTTCTGAATGGTACTTTGGAAGAAGAAGTATATGTTGAGCAGCCTGTAGGATATGAAGTTAAAGGAAAAGAAAATAAAGCATACAAATTGAAGAAAACATTATATGGCTTGAAACAGGCACCCAGAGCATGGTACAAAAAGATTGATTCCTATTTTGTATAACATGGATTTCAAAGATGTCAATTTGAGCACACTTTATATATTAAAGTTGTTAATCCAGATGATATTATTATAGATCGTCCATGAAAAACTAGATTTTTGGATAATGTAATTGCAAACTTGTTGTCACAAAATATCACCTGTAGGAGTATCTTGCTTTTGATGCATAGCTTTAAGAATCCTTATCATCCATATTGTTTGTGTAACACAACTTGTTATAGCTATGTATTACTGCCTCGGCTATTGAGAGTGCAATTATTGACTACTTCTTTGAGGACCATGATACTCGCTCGAGTGCCTAAATGAAATGTGTACCCCGACATGCTTTTCCTTGTTTCAATATTGCCTGCCCAATCACTATCTATGTATCCAACCAGACTTTACATTAGAATTATTAGCATAAAAAATTTCCTCGAGTCGAGTACCTTTGATGTATCTAAGGATTCTTTTTGCCCCTTGTAAATGACATGCACATGGTTCTTCCATGAATTTCCTGAGCAATCCTACTCCAAATACAATATCTGGTCTAGTGGTAGTTAAATATCTGAGACTTCCAATTAAACTTTTGTAGTATGTTGAATCAACCCTTCTTTTATCACTATCTCTTTTCAACTTCAACTTTTCTTTAACAGGTATTGAGATTGACTTTGAATATTCCATTTTGAATTTCTTCTAAATGTCTGTAGCATACTTCTTTTGAGACATAAAAATTTCATCATTCTGTTGAACAATCTCAATGCCAAGAAAATATGACATTAGACCCAAATTTGTCATATCAAAACATTGAACCATGGCCTCCCTGAATTCTGCAATCATCTTTGGATTATTGCCAGTAAAGATTAGATCATCAACGTAAAGACATACAATAATAATATCAATTTGATGAAGAAATTATCAATTTTTCCTTATTTGCATATTGTGAGCCTGTATCATTTGAAGAAGCATCAAATAATCAATATTGGAGAAAAGCAATGGATGAAGAAATTCATGCCATTGAGAAGAATCAAACATGGGAGCTGACAAACTTACCAGTAGACAAAAGGTCAATTGGAGTGAAATGGGTGTATAAAACTAAGTACAAGCCTAGTGGAGAAACTGATCATTTCAAAGCACGATTGGTAGCAAAAGGGTACAAACAAAAGCCAAAAATTGATTATTTTGAGGTATTTTCTCCTGTAGCAAAATTAGATGCAATTCGTATGCTTATCTCTTTATCAACTCAAAATAATTGGAAAATTTATAAAATGGATGTTAAATCTGTTTTTCTGAATGGTACTTTGGAAGAAGAAGTATATGTTGAGCAGCCTGTAGGATATGAAGTTAAAGGAAAAGAAAATAAAGCATACAAATTGAAGAAAACATTATATGGCTTGAAACAGGCACCCAGAGCATGGTACAAAAAGATTGATTCCTATTTTGTATAACATGGATTTCAAAGATGTCAATTTGAGCACACTTTATATATTAAAGTTGTTAATCCAGATGATATTATTATAGATCGTCCATGAAAAACTAGATTTTTGGATAATGTAATTGCAAACTTGTTGTCACAAAATATCACTGTAGGAGTATCTTGCTTTTGATGCATAGCTTTAAGAATCCTTATCATCCATATTGTTTGTGTAGCACAACTTGTTATAGCTATGTATTCTGCCTCGGCTATTGAGAGTGCAATTA